TTAGTTAGTTAGTTAGTTAGTTAGTTAGTTAGTAGTAGTTAGTTAGTTAGTTAGTTAGTTAGTTAGTTAGTAGTTAGTTAGTTAGTAGTTAGTTAGTAGTTAGTTAGTTAGTTAGTTAGTAGTAGTTAGTTAGTAGTTAGTTAGTTAGTTAGTTGTTAGTTAGTTAGTTAGTTAGTTAGTAGTTAGTTAGTTAGTTAGTTAGTTAGTTAGTTAGTTAGTTAGTTAGTTAGTAGTTAGTTAGTTAGTTAGTAGTTAGTTAGTTAGTTAGTTAGTTAGTTAGTAGTTAGTTTGCCACTATTAGTTACTATTCAAGTCTTTTCAACATGGGTTCGATTCAAACTAGACACTGGTAAAGGAGTTCAAATAAGCCTGATGAAGACCTAAGTGTATTTCCTTCTAAATTACAAATCTCTAAGATTTCAAAGAGAATTAAGAAAGTTTTGATCCCTTAAGTCCTGCACCACTCTATTGCATATAACAAATATGTATTTCGAAGATCCGAAGGATTTCATGTTTTTATATAAAATTGTGTTAATTTGATTTGACATTCAAAATACAGAAAAAACTGACTCCTTTATCTTACCTCCAAAAAAAATGTATAAACCACTCATGTAGCTTCACAGCAATGGGACATCCGTTTAACGGGTCCGTTATATTAAATATTGTACATTTGTATATGATTTTAAAAGTGTGTGTATGTGTGTATTTAGTACGTTGCCATGACAGGCAACAAGATATCGTTTACAACAAATAAAATGCAATTTTATTATTACGATTATTATAACGATGCAATTCCATGTACAGGTGCAACTGATGCTTTATCATAAATGTGTGGATGCCACATTCTATACACACACATTCATATTATGTATGTATATATTTAAGTACTCAAATATTGGCACGCTTTTAAACATATTTATTATATTGCATGATAATAATAACAAAATTGTGTTGCACAGACACCATCGCAATACAATGGGAGAGTATCCGCCGGTTCTTTGAAAACGGAAATCCGAAGTTTATTTTATTGATAGTGGAGTTTGGTTGGTATTAAATTTGATCAATGTTGTCAATAATATATGTACGTAAATATTACTTTTTCATTCTTAAAATTTTCTCTCAATATCGATCTGAAAAAAAATCAGAAATAAGATCCGTTTTAGCATCTTCCATAGGATTTCTATTATACAAACTTTATTTAAAACTTTCAAGAAATCATAATTTAAGGTCTTTGAACCGATCCGAAAAAACGATACTGCCAAACATAAAATGCAAACGTTCTCATTTAAGCACAGACTTTAACCAATTTTGTAAATAAAATCAACAGCAGTATTGCCAGTTCTAATAGTTAAATTTAGTAAAGACACCAATTTATCTACAAATGATTGGGAAAATCGCCTGTATTGTTTTAACACATTGACAACACTTATTTAACGGATATTGCTAAAATCTGTGTCTGTAGTTTAACAAGGCGGTTTTGCACGCCTGGATCTGTATTTTTGTATTTTTATTTATTCCGGTTTTATCAACAACATTTAACAAAAAAAAATTATAAATATCATGTGTTTTTTATTTGTTTGTTTATTTTTTTTTTCGTACATCTCTATAATATTTGTGTAATTATACTGCACAAATGTGTGTTTGTATTTCCATATTTTTGGTTTATTCAAATACAACTTACAAATCATTTAATCGTATTGTGATTACAAAACATTCGGATGGGGACAAGTACAAATTTGAATGGACAAATATTTTAGAGATGTTAGAGACATATTGAAAAGGGTACTATTTGCGGGGACAATGTGAAACTAACATTTCATATATTTATCTGTTTCCTTGAAGATGTTACACTTCTTTTTTAAAGTGACGTAATTTTAAGAAGATAATAATAGAAATACATATGTATGTATTAGCTGAGAAGTTTATATCTATGACCGTTTTACTGCATCATATGGTAACCAAGTTGCTAGGGGATAATCGGTACCTTCTATTGAAGACTTTATAAAGTCTGAAAAACTCAAATGAATAGAAGGGGAGGCACGACAGAACTGTAAAATTTGACAACTAAAGCCACAATTTTTATTAAATATCCAAAATATCCTTTTTTTCTTTTCCATGAATAAACGATGCGAATATAATTTCCCCGATATTTGTACCAAAACAAAAAGTCTCATCTCTGTTGAAAAATTGGGAATATAAAAATATTTTTTTCATTCGTAAATTTCGTGTCATGCCGTGTCCATCTGTTTGTTACTTGTGGTTTTAAGAACATTTTCAACGGCCCTGTTGCTATTGCCAACAATACGTATGTAAGTCCTGTTGTCATTGTCCGTACATTAATACTTGTTCCTGTTTTTATTTCAGGACTTTCATATCAGTGTTTTTTTATATCTTTTATACCCACCATCAAAAAAGATGGGGGGTATATTATTTTGTCATTCCGTTGTAACACATCGAATTATTGGTCATAGACCCACAAAAGTATATATATTCTGGGTCCTCATTAAATTCTAAGACGATCAAGCCATGTCTGTCCGTCCGTCTGTTTGTTGAAAGCACGATAGAGTCCGAATGGAAAGAGCTAGAGTGTTGAAATTTCACATAAATATTTAGGTAAGGTTTGTTTGGTATTGAAAATGGGCAATATCGGTCCACGTTTTCGGATAGCCCCCATACAAGTGGCGCCTCGAAAGGCAGCTTTAACAGCCATAACTTGTTTAAAAATACGAATATAGCGATGAAATTCGACATAAGTGATCCAAAATCACTATGCTATGAGGATCGGTCCATAATTGACCCTACCACCCATATAGGTCCCCTTCAGAAAATGACTTTAACGCTCATTACTGGCTTAAAAATACTAGTATATAGATGAAATTCGACATAAGTAAGTTTCATACGAGTCAAAATCTATCTAAAAAAAGTTATGTTGATCGGTCCATGATTGACCCTACCCCCCATATAAGGTCCCCCTCAGAAATGGCTTAAAAAAACGAGTGTAGCGATGAAATTCGACACAAATAAATTTAATACGAACCAAATTCTATCTACCAATTTTATGAGAATCGACCCATAATTGACCCTACCCCCCTATATAAGGTCCCCTTCAGAAAATTACTTTAACGCTTATAACTGGCCTAAAAATACGAGTATATAGATTAAATTCGACATAAGTAAGTTTCATTCGAGTCGAACGAGGTTTGATGGTGGGTATATAAGATTCGGCATAGCCGAATATATGTAACTCTTACTTGTTTTGTTTTAAATTTATATTTTTGTGTATGATAAATGTTCATTGATAATCAATTTAATGTTGTACTCTATAGCCGCAGTAACGAAGTATATATAAGTATTTATAATATTGTACGTTAACTACTAGTTATCCCATTGTTGTCATATTTTTGTTCTCTGGGCGTTAATTACATATGTACATATATTTAAAAAATATTGGTAAAAACAATTATAAAATATATTATTGTTGTTTTTGTGGTTTATTTTCTTGTGAAATTTAAGTATTATAAATTAAACACAGTGGTTGAACAAAACCGTGCTATAGAATTAAAAGGACTTCCCCATCGTCTTGCCAAAATATCGACTTAGAATCAATCTCTTCTAGATCCTCAATATCCTTGCACAACATACACGCAAATCTTACACGATCGCTATGATTACAGCGATCCCATTGGCATACATATGTAAATTGTCACAACAGACCCTGAGATCGATATGATCCAGTAATACCACATTCTATAGGGACTTTGAATAACCTTTTTATTTCCTGTCGATAAATACTGCCTTCGAAGAGTTTATCACATCCAACCCAATATTCTCTAATCGGTTTCTAGCTACTAATGAGTAGAATGGCACTACTTAGGACTTGCATATCCGTTCTCAAGGCCCTCCAGACAATGCATCTATAAGTCAGAATATGTTTGACAAACAAAGAGTAAATCCAATTCACCGTATCTGATTACTTATCTCAATTCATTCCAATGGAATACTTGTATGTATAGTAGACGATAACTCATAAAGGGTACAATTTCTATTTCGGCAGAATTAACTCTAAGAGCTTTTATTTTCACCCCATTATACAATATCATTTATCATCGTAAGTCTACGTTAACTCTACACCACTTTGGTAGATATGCACTACTATGTAATCAATTCAAAAACTATTAAATTCATTTAACTTTTTTAATCTCATCACTAATTGTTTATAATAATGTTGTTTAAACGAATAATTTCACTACAAATTTAAACCACAACTTAAATATACGGTTTATAGTCACCCATTTATCTTTTCAATAACAAACACACAGACTGAAACACCCTGTCATGTGTTGTCAACTTTTCTATTATTGTTTTTTAAAAGTCGACTTTTCGACATTTTTTAATATCGAATTTTTTGATTCTTTTCGAACTTTATCGATTTTTTCGACTTTTCAACCTTTTTGGACTTTCCGAGTTTGTTTGCAATATCGATTCATCAACTTTTTTACACGATAGGTCAAAAAGTTGAGTTCTTCCAACAATGGACATCATTCTCGATATTTCTAGAACATTTTAGCAACACCTTCTATATACTTCTGGCATCGTTTAACGGTCACTATCTTGAAAGATCTACTGAAATAATCTACTTAGTGTTGCCATACCAATTGTTATTTTATCGTTCTTTAAGAAAATGGCGGAACATAAAATGTTTATTATAAAATGAATTTTTAAAAGGGAGTTAAAACCGACTTAGTTTAAATGCAAATACAATTTCGTAGCAATAGCATTAGTTATTCAAAATTTTATATATTTTTTTAATTTTTTTAACACAACTATAAACTTAGCCGACTTAAAGTAGACTTGAGAACGCCGTCAAAATTTTTGCTGTCAGTTGCCGCCCTTGTTTTATTTTTGTCGGCGCAGATCTTTGGTCATAATTCATTTCTTGTGTCGTGACGTTTTTATTTGGATTTTTTCTTTGGACTATTAAAAAATTATAAATTTTCATACAAATTCACGCCAAAAATTTGCAATAATAATAAATATCTTTTATTTACCATTAATTGCTATAAATATTCTACAAAAACTTAATACAATTTATGCATGAGCCATAAAAATTGCACTTGAAAAAAATAGAAAGTAAACAAAAGCCGTCAGAAAATATTTTTTCGTTGGCAAAAGAAAAAAAAAAAACAGGAAAGTCTCAGAGTGGGCTGTGTACGGTTGTGGGTAAGTGGGAGAAAGGAAGAAAAAACACAACACATCTTGGGGTAAGGTTGAAAAACTTGAAGTAAACTACAGAAAAAAATGGCTGGCTCAGCTTTAAGAAGACTTATGGCAGAATATAAACGTAATTGTATAATCAACACAAGTTGTGGGGAATTTTAAAATATGCTAATTGTTTTAAAATATCTATGTTTTTGCTATCACATATAGAATTGACTTTGGACCCACCGGAAGGTATTGTGGCCGGTCCCGTTAGTGAAGATAACTTTTTCGAATGGGAGGCTTTAATAGCGTAAGTTGTGTTGTTGTTTGGTGATACAAAAAAGTAAGAAATTTCTTAACAAATGTCGTTTATTATAGAGGCCCCGAAGGCACTTGTTTTGAGGGTGGCGTTTTCCCTGCCCGCTTAATATTCCCGCCAGATTATCCCTTAAGTCCCCCTAAAATGAAGTTTACTTGTGAAATGTTTCATCCTAATAGTAAGTAATCTATCATTATTTAGTTATTTTTGGGTATTTTTATGTTTTTATATGATTTTCTAGTTTTCGCTGATGGCCGTGTTTGCATATCAATATTACATGCTCCTGGTGATGATCCCATGGGTTATGAATCATCGGCTGAACGTTGGAGTCCTGTACAAAGTGTAGAAAAGATATTACTCAGTGTTGTTTCAATGTTGGCTGGTAAGTTTTACACTGTTATATTTAACGTTATTATATTTTTATTATTTTTTGGAACATTTATGTTTTGGGATTTCGGCGCTAATCACCTTTTTCGATCTGTTGCTATGTTATGTAATATTGATAGTGAAATATAAATTGCTTTTAGAGTCTATATTCTATTCCATGACGAACTGGAGCTAATTGCGGGATTTGGCCATACTAAGCTTTTTTGAAAGGAATTGGTCACCTTCTTCGAGGGAGAAAATCTCTCTCATTTCTTTGTTTCTTTAGAGTACTGTATTGGTAAATCTTCTGGGCTGAAATCCCTTGATAATACACCATTTCTCATCCATTTATCTATCCTCTTTATCTATATTCCTCTTTCTTTACTGTTTTATTGTAGTTTGTATACCTTTTCTATGGTGCAAAACCTTTCTTAACCTGACCTAACCTTAGGGCAAAATTATCAGCCGACTTCTTTATATATAGTTTAGATTTATTTATATAGTTGTCCTATGATGATACTAATATGTACCAAACCGTAGTAATGTCCTCTTTTTCTTATTACTTTGTACAAAAGGAACCTTATTAGTGACCACTTAGGTTTATTTCTTTAAAATGACCAAATGCATTAGTTAGTTTTAGATAAGGCTGAGGAGTACTTTGTCCTCTTAAATGAATATATTATTCATTTAAGTATATTTCAATTGACATCAGAAGAGGGTGTTGAACATAAGAAGAGAAAAAGTAGGTAATGTGCGGTAAAACAGAATCGGAGAGCGTCTTCTTTCTTTTAGGAGTTTGGATATTCAGAGAAGAAAATTTTTGCAAATTTGGATATTTAGTTAATGATGTTCAGTATTAAGCAAACATCCCTATAGCTCTTCTCGTTGGGATCCTAACATTTATAAACAAATATGACAATATCGAATATTTAAGAAGATATATCTACATACATATATGTACATATGTACTAAAATTGCTAATAATAACAAAAACATCTTTCTATTTTTAGAACCCAACGATGAATCCGGTGCTAATGTTGACGCAGCTATAATGTGGCGTGAAAAACGTGAAGAATTCAATCAAATCGCCAAACGTTTAGTCCGTAAGACTTTGGGTTTACCATCATAAGAATTTCGTTTTTTCCCCATTAAATTTTAGGCAAACAAAACAAAAAAACATCATACAAAAGCAACAACAGCAACAAAAATTTAGAAAAATCAATGAAAACAAATAACAAAAATTGCCTCTCTCTTTCTTACAATCTTTAAATTTAAAATTCTTTAAATCAAATTACTCCTTTTTTCATTATTGTTGAAATTTTACTAAACTCTCCCACAGCAGCTTTAAAAGTGTTTTTTTTTTATTTGTATTTAAATTAAATAATTTTTTTTTGTTCTCATGTGTATTTGAAACCAAAATTAGCAAAACCTTACTATTTTTAATTTAATGATGAACTTACATATATTTTTTTTTTTAACAAAACAAGAAAATTTAGTAAATATTATTAAATAAGTTAAATACAACAAAAGAAATATAATAAAATAAATTCAATAAAATTGAAAATAAATCAGTAAAAAACATACAACGCAATTTCATATAATTTTATTTTTTTTATTTTAACAAAAACGACTGTCATTATGGCAAATAATATAAATTAGCAGTTTTTAAATAAAACACCTGTTAAAATAAGAATGGCATATGTTTATTTGAGGCTACAATAGAATTCCTAACAAAATTCTCTCCAAACGGATTGTGAAACCAATTTAATAAAGAATTTCTTTAGGATTTGTTATTAAAAATTGAAAGAAGCTACTACTTTGCACTGTTTTTACTTAAATTTCTCCGTTAGTTTGTTAGTAAGGTTCAAAATTTGTAACCACTAAAACCTTGAAAGGATTTAGTGGTATCCAAAGAATACATGTCTATATAAATCTTCTCTTAGAATTTCACTATCACATCAGGTTTTCGAGATATTCTGTCCTAAATTGTTTAATAAATCTGGCCATGTTTGAGACGATATAAAAGCACTAAGAACCTTTATTTATAAAATTGCCTCGTCCAAGAACTGCCAATCCGACTATACCTTCGAATTCTGCTCCTGAGTTTACTGGTCTCCACCAAAATCTTAAATCAGTTTTTTTTTATACTTTACCATGTATCAAAGTATGTAACTTCGAAGAACCGTAACGCGGTACAGTTAAGCGATGCCACGCATTTCACCAATGCGAGAGTAAAACACAGATGACCTGATTACCCTTCAACGATAATGGTAATAACGCGAGAAGGTCTTTATCCACACAGAGCTGAATTGCGAATGTAACCTAAACTTTGAAGCAATCATATCTCGAAATTATTCGGATTCAGCGGAGATTTTGGTTTTCATTGATCTCATTTATAACGAGTATTTTGCCCTGATATAATAAAGCCACAAGGAGAGCATGTAAACTATCAAAAGGTGGGATCCCGAAATAGTAAAAAATCGTAGGATGTGTCTGTCATAAGTTATTTAACGAGGCAAAGAGATCAAGAATCTGGTCAATTTATAAGTCAAAAGTTAATGAATTTAAAAACCATGGAGAAATTTCTGTAGTACTATAGAAAGCTCCTCAGAAACGAGTCGCCTTCGAGAATTCTTGTCTAAATCCCCTTCTGTCCCAAGCTGCAAGTAGTCGGGAGACACTTGAACTTCTCCCGAATACTCACTTCGCCGGTTGTATCTAAAATGGTGGATCAACGATACAAGATCAACACGAAGCTGACCTACTTTGCTAATGTTATGAAAGATGACGATATCATCCGCTGGGCAGTTAGGAGCTTTGATACCTATAAATCACCTGGCCCACATGGCAGAATTCCTGCGGATCTACAAAATAATGTAGATCCGATCATTCCCCGGCTAAGTACTATTTACAAAACCTGCTTGTCTTGGTCCTACATCCCAACTCAGTGGACCAAGTGTAATGTGATATTTATTCCAATGAGGGGTAAGTCATCTCATATTAAGGTAAAAGACTTCAGACCTATCAGTCTAGCGTCATTTCTGCTAAAAACTTTGGAGAGAATACTAAATATACATATTAGAATATCGGCTGACAAATCTCTTCTCTCAACCTCTCAACATGCCTACATAAAGGTCAAATCCTCACAGGGGGATACTACAATCTCTAAAAGAGCCATACGGGGCACTCCTTAAGGAGGAGTTTTATTCCCTCTCCAGTGGAATATGGGTATTAACCGATTCCTAGTTAGACTTGATGAACTAGGTTTTAAAACGGTTGCTTACGCTGATGATGTTGCGGTAGCGGTAGCTGGCACTTATCTTGAGATTCTGTCTTATATTTTGGAAGACTCGCTAAGAATTATTAGCTCATGGAGCGTTAATTGTGGCCTTAGTGTAATTCCTGGGAAAACGGTACTTGTATTGTTTTCGTACAAATATAAAATTCCTCAATTCTCACTTCCCGTCTAAATGTCGATGTTTTCACGCTGACGGATAGCGTAAAATGGCGCTGCAAATTATGGCCCCAGGTAAAATGGCCCCAAAATATAAAACGAAAAATTGCCCCAATATTGGGGTCAAAATTCATTATGAAGTATAACCCTAACATTTTTTAAGAAAAATCACCCCAAAATTAATGAAAAATCTCCCTAAGGTTGAAATGAAAAGTGGCCACAAATATTGGGTTAATTTTTCGTAATGAACAATTACCCCAAAAACGTAAATGAAATTTCACCCCATTTAATTTTAATTCAAATATAGGCGTGTCATAAAGTCCAGTGTCATATTATCCATGGGCTTTATGACTCACTAAATTGAGTCTAGTGTCCATGGACGTTATAACAATTTCAAAAGTGTCACAATGCATATGAGCAATGTCCATTGCTCATATGCATTTATCAAAAGAAGGCTTAATTTAGCGAAGCCGGTATTCGAAATACCCTAGAGTTTAAAACCCCTGCGCCCGGCCGAAGGCCGGCTATCCAGAACACTTTTTAAATGGAAACCAAAATGCAACATACACCAAATTTAGGATAAATTCCTTTGGGGGTAAGAGTGTCCCTTTCTTAAATTCTTTACAAATTTTCAAATACAGTTCTGTTTTAAAAGTGATACAATGTCAATGGACATTATAACACTTTTAAAAATTGTCATAACGTCCATGGACACTATGAAACCACCTCAAATATATGCTAATATATTTATAAAATTTCATATTTAATAATTTTTGTTGTATTTTCATAA